ACATATTTATTATTATGTTATGTCGGACCGAATATATCACCGTTATTATTATGTTATCAAGTATAGTTATTGATATGTTATTGCCCTAAAATTTGTACCTGGTGGGCCTGGAGGTGGTGGAGGTGGTGGAGGTGGTGGAGGTGGGGGAGGTGGGGGAGGTGGGGGAGGTCGAGGAGGTGGTGGAGGTGGGGGAGGTCGAGGAGGTGCTGTTGTAGCCATTGGTGTTGTAGCCCGTAGTGTTGTAGCCATTGGTGTTGTAGCCCGTGGTGTTGTAGCCCGTGGTGTTATAGCCCCGCCTGGAGGATCCCAACCGCAGTTATTCTGGCACCTTTCATTTCCTTTACACCCGTTTCTGTATGCATTGAGGTCAACGCGGAATGAGATTGAACATTTGTGTGTTAGAGACTTATTTTTATTTTTTTGCGATAAATATTGAAAAGATCTCAACAATAGTTCTCTTTCATATTCAAATCAATTTGGAAAATTAATCGGAATTTTGTTCATTTCCATATTTTGCCTACCTGCATTTTTCAATAACGATGCATTCATTATAGCATTTGTCATTGCCGTTGCAGTCATTGCGGCACGTTCGGCATCTGTCCGATTTGCATGGCTGTTGCTTTTCGACAGCAACAACCTTTTTGACAACTGACCCTACTGGTGCCCGTTTTATGAGCGGCCCTTTCTTTAAGCGTCGCAATAGACCTACACAAACGGAGAAAACGAACGATGAAATTGATAAAAAAAATGCGTATTGAACAGAAACGTCAATCACTTTTTTATGATTACCTGGATCAGCTGGCGATAGTACCACACAGACTGAAACAATTAGGAAAATAACACCAAATTTAGTCATTTTTATTCGAAGAGTGATAAATGTGATCGCTTCGTTTCTCAATCCAAACTGATTTCCATTGCCATAAAACACTCTTTAAATACTTGAAAAATCAGTACAGCTCTGTATGTCTGTCATATCAAAGACTTACATTTAAGGAAAAGATTTATAATTTTGATTAATTGCAAATATTTACCGATTTCGTTTCAATGATTTGAACTCAAAATAAATAGTCTTACCTCGTAAGACGAACTTTTCCGCACCGTTTTCATAGCGTTCAGCTTATATTCAGATTTTGCCTAGGAAATTTATAAGAATTTTTAGAAAAAAACAACAGTACGTTCATGTATTTTATGGAAAATTGTATTGTGATTCCGGAAATTTTGATGTTGGGAATTCAAATGAAATGAAACGTTTGATTGTCTTTATTGTCGTCTGAATACTCAAACTTTATTCAACTTCTTATTTTCTACGCAGTTTTTGGCTTAAGATTTACCTCTCTTTTAAAAATGCAAAATAATCAAGTATTAAAAGAACTGAACTTTAATCGAAGAACTGCAAATCAGTCAAATATTTGGAGAATGAACTTTGATTTTAATTAAATCAAAAAATGTGGACGGAAATAATAAGCTATCTCGACAAAATGTTTAATAAGCAAAATGAATGAACTGATTTTTTCGTTTCTTTTTTGATGAAATTAGACAAAAGTTACCAAATCGAAATCAATTGGTCATTATTGCGATGCAACATGAAAATAAGTATCCAAAAACTTAGACAAAAACAAAAATGTGTGTATTATTAATTGTGGAAACAGCTGTAGTTTGTTTCGTATATTCTTTTGATGTTTTTTCGTAGTTCGCTGGTCTTTTTTAAATTGTCTGTTTCGTGCTGATTGATTTTTGGATGGTATGTTGCGGGGTTGTGTCTCAAAATGATGGTTGTGGCGTATGCAATCGAGAAAATGCCACAGAAACATCCATCTGGTTGCAACGTTGCCGGTTCGATAAATTGATACTGTGCTCCGGGCAGGGGGATTACAGATTGACAGTTGAGCTACATGATATATATACTGAATGAATAGTTCTGTAGCTTGCCGTATATGATATTTTAGGGCAAACTGCGGCGCTAGTGTGCTTGTGTTTCAATCTACAAACCCCCTGGCTCCGGGATACAGGCGAGTGAGGATGTTTCGTTGATATACGTCCAATCTTTTGCCATCATTGCCCTACCCGTGTAGACTGTCATTAATCTTCACACGATTTTCAGCATAGATATAGTGAACTGTGGTGTAATGGCCAAGAAAGCTGTATATTATTTGCAGATCGCCTCGTTCGGCTAGAAGTCGTTTGTATCGCTCTTGTTTTTGTCCATAGCAGACTGGATGCATATTGAATGGTATGGTTCTATTTGCATTCACCAAATTTATAATGAACATATCGATTTACAAATCATTTAAGAATTCTGTTCCAACAATTTGATTTGTGATCGATTCTAGGCCTGTATTCTTCGTAGTTTCACACAAGTCTTCGATTTTGTAGTAAAATTCATCCTCTTCCAACTCGGGAAAATCCACATTGTTGAGAATAAATGTGACTTCAGAGGCGCCAACACATTCGCTATCAGAATCACTATTCAATACCGATTGGATACGAAAAAAGATGGGATAGCGGGTGCTAGGTTATTCTTAGGCCGCTATTATTTTGATGGAATAAATCGAGTGGGAGTGATAAAATCCACCTGGGAGCCTATTTTGGGTACCTCCCGAACAAAAGTTCGATTTTTTGAAGGTTTTTCATAGGCTAGGTATCCTAGGGTACATCGGGGGGGGGGGGCTGGAAATTTAATGGTTTCCAAGTCCAACGAAGCACAAACGTTTGGTACTCGCAGAATTTCGTTTCCTATTCTGGTATTTGAGCAATCGTGCTAACAAATTTTTGCGTACAGCGTACAGCGCACAGCGTACAGGGTACGACACACCCACATTAACATAGCAAAATAACCACTGTATCGTGCTTTTTGGTTTCGAAAATGGATTTAAAAATGGTTTTTCGGGTGATTTTTGGAGTGATTACAATACTTTTACTCACGACATGGGCGTGCGAAAAAGTAATTGGTGTATTGTCAATTAATTATAATCAAATGTAAACACAATTTCTTATTTGACAAACCTAATTTTATGCCAGTTGGTGTTTACATTTAATGGTAACACACTATTTATGCATGTGTTCATCTTATTGATGATGATTCGACGAAATTATAGAGGACAGAAACAACACGCGTTTTAAATTGTTCAAACAAACAGATTTGCAAAAAAAGAAAACGGTTCAACACCATTTTCGTTCTGGCTTACTTTCAATGTCAATTGAGCAATAGTTTGGCCAAATTTTGCGCATATCATCTGAATCAATAGCAGAAAAAAAAATTGCGGCATGCGTTGACAAATTGGACTGATTTTTTTAACATTGAATGGACTATTTTGAGCCAACACGTGCGCTCTACAAAATGTATTTGTCGACGCCACATTGAAATCAATTCAAAATGATACTTTAAACTTGTTTTGATGACCATTCCAAATATTCAATAAGTATGAATATGTCGTCGGCATATTATCGCAGTAGAAAACATCGGTGGTCAACTTACAAGTCCAAAGGGTGGTCAACTTACATTTTTTGATGACTTTGCAAAATGCATCATAATTTTTTCTAGGACGTAAAGGCTTGGGATTGACTTTGGATTATGAAAATGCACCAAAAATTGTTGTATAAAGATTATCTTCAATTTCCTATATCGTCCAAATTAGTCACTTTACGGCAACAAGTAAATATATGAATTTTAATTATTTTTCTTGAAAAAAAGAGCTGACGATAAATCAGATAAAATCCCATTTTGCATCTGAACTCTCGCGACAAGAGACAGACATAACGAACGAACGAACGAACGATTTTTTTTTTTGCCAACTGCGAATTCAAGAAAATATTTTAGCGCCTGTTAACGCACAAGCAAATTGTATTTTAATGAAATTACTTTGATTCTTCTGCCGTTAAATACATTTGCTGGCGTGTACAATGTACCAACTACAGAAAGTATGTGTCTCTGTGTGTATGTGTGGTACGGTATTTTGTCGAGATTGAATTTGAGCATTACATCTACATTTGTTGTCGTTTGTTGTTGCGCATCTATGCGCTAGCGCTCGCACCCAACACAACACAACCAATCCAGGTCCAAATTCAAAATTCAATTAGTAACGACATATTTCAGTTAGTATATTTTATCTATTCCATTCGAATAGCATCTAGGTCTTCCTTAATGTCATCGAATAGTGACAACGAAAAAGAAGAGGATGGGAAAAAACCCGAAACACATTGCATGATGACGCTTACGGCACCGAAGCACACCAAAACAATCTAATTCTATTATGATTTTTGAACGATTCAAAATGAAATCCTTTATACTGTCGTTGTGTGCACTACACTCTCGCCTCAATTTTTAGCGTCCACACACACAATAGTAAGGAGTTAAGTTGTATATACTAAAATGTCATAACCAATACATTCAAATATAGTTGACATATGGGAAGTTTGGAGCGAATATGTTATACAGAAAAGTTGCGCGGAAAAATGTCGATGATGAATGAGTGGAAAAGGGATAGCTATATAGTAAACTATAGTGAACTAT